TACTAATAATGGCGGCGATCAGACTTATGACTTATGGCGGGACTGCGGCGGACATTCTGACACTGGGGGGGTACTCACTTGGGGTTACTGACATCCCCAGTGACACCAATACAGTGATCAGTGCAAAAAAAAAAACCGTGACACTGTACTAATGGCACTGGGGAGGAAGGGGTTAAGTTTATTTTGCAGGGAAGGGTTATCTGTGTGAGGGGGAGTGTTTTACTAGGGGGCGGGGGTGTGTACTGCAGGGGACACGGCTAATCGAGAGAGTGAAACTCTTCTGTCCCGATTAGCTTGTCCTCGAGCTGTCAGGGAAGTGACAGAAAGCACAGCTACTGCAGCTGTGCTCTCTGTCACTGATTGCCCCTGATCGCCGGGAGATAGCCGGTAAGGACCGGCTGTGACCCGGCGACTGACACCCGCGGCTGTGATCGGCGGGACAGGTAGGGTGGCGGCGCACCTCGCGCGCGCCCCCTACATGTTTACAAAACACACGTTTTAAAATGTGCTTTTGCCCAGCCGTGCCGCCCTGCCGCTGTATTTCTACAGTGGCTGGGCGGCATGTGGTTAATCAGCTTTTTTGGCTGGAAAAAAAACCAGAACTAGTGGGTTTCTAGACGTGTTTTTTAGCTGTAAAAACGCTTTAACACTGGTGATTGAGGCAAAACGCATTTATTTCTTTTGGTAAAAATGCAGAAAAGCGTAGTTAAACCCAGCAAATCGCTAATGCTAAAAAATGCTGAAAAACACTGATACAGCTAACGCTACCGCCATTTTTAAAATGCCTAGTGTGTATGAGGACTAAGGCTGTGGGTCCATTCACAAAGTGCAGCACGACTCAGGGAAGCACAGTGGGGAGTGTGGAAAATTTCAAGGGGCATGAATACTTTTTCAAGGCACTGTATTTACATTGATCCAAGCTGGACAATTGTAACCACACAAAAAAAATATCCATACCTAGAATTCAACTTATATTCTTTTTTTATTATTTTTTAAGGTGCTTTTTTATTTTGAAATAGGAAATAATACAGTAACAAGGAAGAAACATAAAAGGCAAAGCAAAAAGAGGTCACAGAAGAAAACAACAGATCTTTATTTCTCCATACAAAGAGCAGCACTTGCTCGGTATACAATATATAAAGTGAGATAAAAGCATTTAACAAAAGCATTTTTTTAAGAAACAGTTTGGCCCTGAGAATCATTTGATACATTTACAGAAGATGACATTTCAGTGCATGTTCCCCAGATGTTATCAAATTCTAGAGGACATCCTTTGGCTTTTGTTATAAGTCAGTTTATACAAAGGAAAAGGATCATAAATTTAAGATATTCTGAAGAAACCAGTAGATCAAGAGATGTTTCTTTTTAATACCTATCAGTTTTTGAGCATGCAGCAGCCTGGTCATTGTCTGGCTTCACACCAAGTGCCGTTTCTCACCAGAACGTGATGCAGGAAAGGTGTTCCATGCGCGTTTCCCTGTTCAAAATTCACTTCCTTTGGGATTTACTGTAGGTGCCAGTACATTGTTAATGGCACCCCAAATCAGTGGCGTCCCGAAGCAGGTGCGGGGGGTGCACACTGCACCGGGTGACACCTACCACACAGGTTGACGCCAGACCCGCACCACGGAAAGGTAAGTTGTAAAGCAAGCTGACGATCCATCCTGCGGGGATTGTCAGGTTTCCTTGCAACTTACCTATTCGTGGATCGGGTCTGGTGTCACCTTGTATAGGTTGTATTCCAACAATCCCCGCAGGATGGATCGGATCTGCGGATTGGGGAGCATAATGGATCGAACTCCGATCCATTATGCTAAATCCACAGATCCAATCCATTCTGCGAGGATCGTCGCAGGGGGTGTCACCAAGTGTTATCGCACTGGGTGACACCAACCCTAGGAACGCCAATGCCCCAAATGCAGATCGCAAATGCAGAGCATTTGAGGGCACCAGATCGTATGATATTGCAGCACAATGTGATTTGGTGTGGTGGAGGTTTTAAAAAGTAGTACATGCACTACTTTTTGTGCATTCTGATCTGATTTCAGCCCATTCAAATCAATGGGCTGCACAATCGCACAACAGGGGACTGAACAGGAATTGGGATTCTGGTGTGAACCTACTCTTAAACTGCGTTTTCCAATAATGTGTGTTGCATTAAGGCAGCCTATTTATTTTGAATGATCTACCAATGCACACCTGAATGCGAACCTGATTTTTTTTTTTAAGCAATGCAGAACACCACAAAGTATGTTAGCGCTTTGCCATGCATTAAGATTCACTACGATGTGGGTGTGTTGCTTTAGTGCAATAGAATACCATTCGAAATGAATGGCACCACAACATGTATGCATGGTGTGGTGCTGCCCCATATGGAAGAAAAATATATTTGAAATATATTTTAGAAATATTCTTCCCAAATATATTGCCATATTCAGTAATACCTCGGTTTACGAATTTAATTCGTTCTGCAGGAATTTTCGTATAGCAGTAAATTCATAAACCAAGGCATTATTATCAATGGATTTTCATTCGTAAACCGAAAGTTCCGTTAACCGAGTCGTACTTAACCGAGGTATCACTGTATTTGAAATGCTACAATTTTGGCCATATTCAATATATTTCAAAATATATTTCAATAAATATATATATATATATTCTGTATGTTGAAATGCGTTTTTATTACAAAATATATGAAAAATATTTGTAAAAATACATTTCAAATATACTATACTATATGTGTTTAAAAATACAAATATACATTTTTGGAATGCATTTACAAATATATGTAAAAATATATGTGCCATCCAGAGCAGTGTGCCCGACCCAACAGAGAGGAGGACTGTTAGTAAACAATGCAGTCCTCCCTGTCGGAGATCCTCAGTAATCACCGGGCGCCGGCGGGGAATCACCAGCCAAGACCCGGTGATTGACAGCCACGGCCACAAATGGCGGCATGGTATGGCATGCACGCCCCCTACCCAGAAATACAAAAATCATGTATATATATACGTGATTTTGCGCACCCCTGCTGCCCTGTAGCAGTTTATCTACTATAGGGCGGTCGGGATGTGGTTGAAGTGTATATTGTATAATATGTTATAAACCCAACTCTGCACTGTAAACCAAAATATCCCCATCAGTGAACTCTCTATGTGTTGTTGTCTCTGTATTATCATCACATGCCAATTTTAATAAAGGGAAAAATAATTTGCCCTTCAGTACAGCACTACAATAGTGGTTGATTTACAAAAGGCAAATAGTCTGTGCATTTTGCAAGTGCAGTTGCTCCAGAGCTTATTAAATGAGGAAAAGCTTCACTTTTCAAAGAACACCCAATCACATGCGAGAAAAATAAAAAAAACAGCTTTTATCTCCCACATTGAGGATCTACCTGTGGATGATAGGAAGCGGACAGCTCCTGGGACATTGTGAGTAAGACCTGATTTGTAAAATAATTGCTTATTTCATTTGGCGTGTCTCGTGACCCTAAACCCCTCTACTATTTAAGATTCTATAGCAATAAATTCCCAGACATCCCCTAGTCTGAGCCTGTATTGCTGGTGTGCATAGAACTGTGCTTGTGGCTGGCAGCGGCAACCTCTGTAATGTTGTAGGAGACCTGGGTGTATTCTCAATGGCCCCTCGGGGTAAGCACTACATTCACAATTCATCCCTTACAATCCTATATATATCCTAAATATATTTAAATTCAAGGTGAACAGCTTCTATGCTAAGTAGAATGCCAACAAACAAAATTTTTCCCAGGGGCTCAATATATAGTAATCCAATGCAAAGGATAACTATATTTATTTAGTTCCAAAAAAGCATGTACAGATTGGCTGCGTTTTCAGGCAACATGCCCTTCATCAGGCCAAACAGCAAATCCATATCACATCACATTTACATTCATTAACCCAGAAATAGCAACACAATGAGAAAACTCAATCATTTTATTAATTACAAAGTAACAACAGGTGAAAATATACAAAACTCCAATGAGAAATGTTAGCGGCCGCTGTGCTTCTCTAATACTCATATAGGAAAAGCACAAAGCACTTTAAGTAGCAACCTGAAATATAAAGCATAAAAAGTCAATCACAAAAATACGTACAAATTACAATTCCGATTTAGACCTGATGGATATAAAGTATTCTGTTAACGGATACAGAAAACGTTACTCCTTTATAATAATCCTTAATTTAGGAACGGAGTCAATGACCATATATTTCAATTGTGCAATTGACTTACCGTACCTTTTTCAATAAAGTGTCTGGTTAAATGTTCCACACTATTATCCCTAATAGCATACTTGTGGAACTAAATAGATATCTTTAAAGTTCAGCAGTCCCCTGCGTTGGATCAAGTTATATGCAGGTGTGAAGAAATGCTGGAAAGTAAGAATGCTTTAAAAAATATATGCGCTTAGTTGTTTATTTTTATCCTTTTACAAAATGCAAAATGAAAGAACAGAAGAAACATCTAAATCAAATCAATATTTGGTGTGACTATCCTTTGGCTTCAAACCAGCTTAAATTCAATTCATTACGCTCTTTTGAAGAAGCGCAAAGAAATGGGCAATGTTGAGGACCGTAGACGCAGTGATCAGCCAAGGAAACTTAGTGTAGCAGATGAAAGACATATCATGCTTACTTCCCTTCGCATCTGAAGATGTCAAGCAGTACCATCAGCATAGAACTGGCAGAAATCAGTGGGACCTAGGTACACCCATCTACTGTCCGGAGAAGTCTGGAGAGAAGTGGTTATCCCTCTGACGTGAAAGCAAGTCTAAGTGACTCAACTATGCACAAAAATATGGGAAATGGGGTGCAGGAAACTGGGCGCAGGTGCTCTGGACTGATGAATCAAAATTTGAAGGAGGCAGTTTGTTAGTCGAAGGGCTTGAGACGGGTGGACTGACAGCTCATGGGGCCCCCGGGCAATAGGGAATCATGGGGCCCCTGTGTCCTTGCCCAAACTCAAAAAAACCTATGAAAAAGGTACCAGGGGCATCTCATGGGGCCCCCTACTGACCCCGGGCCCTCGGGCAGTGCCCGAGTTTCCAAATGGTCAGTCCGCCCCTGGCTGGAGAGAGGTACAATAATGAGTGTCTGCAGGCCACAGTAAAGCATGGTGGGGGTTCCTTGCAAGTTTGGGGCTGCATTTCTGCAAATGGAGTTGGAGATGTGGTCAGGATCAATGGTGTCCGCAATGCTGAGAAATACAGGCAGATACTTATCAATCATACCATCAGCAAGGCATGTGATTGGCCCCCAAATTTACAGCCAATGTCATTAAAGGATAAGTTCACCTTTGGGAACATGTTACGTTTGTTTCCTAATGCTGCAGCCACTGCCCAACCCATACAGGATGTACAGCCTATGCAGACAAGCAGATATACTGTCAGGTCTGCGGGAGACCTGCATGGCACCAGCGATCTGCTGATTGCTGGTGCAATGGTTTATAGGCTCCCGCAACAGAAAATAATAAATGCACATTTTTCTACCTGCAAATAAATGTGCATTTAATATTTTTTTGTCAAAAGGTGAACTTATCCTTTAAGAACTATCTTCAATGTAAAGAAGAACAAGGAGTCCTGGAAGTGATCGTTTGGCCCCCACAGAGCCTTGATCGCAATGTCATCAAGTCTGTCTGGGGTTACAACATGAAGAGACAGAAGGATTGGAGGCAGCCTACATCCACAGATTTATGGTCAGTTCTCCAAGATGTTTGGAACAACCTACCTGCCAAGTTCCTTCAAAAACTGTCAAAAGGCAAAAGGTGGTCACAGCAAATTTAGTTTGGATTTATCTTCTGTTCATTTACTTTCCATTTTGTTAGTTGATAAAAATAAACTATTAACACTTCTATTTTTGAAGTATTCTTTATTTACAGAATTTTTTCACAGCTGCCTTTAACTTTTACACAGTACTGTATATATATATATATATATATATATATATATATATATATATATATTGTAAAAAGGTGTGTGGTCACCATGCATGTCCACACACTTTGGAGTTTATAAATAAAAAAAAATGTCATATCTGTTTGTCCATCAAAACTGCATGTAGATTTATTCTGTGTGAATGGAGCAAAGTTTCAGGCTATGCTCTAAGCAGTTTGAATGTGTGAATGCAGACAATTCTGCTTTATGGCCACAAGATGTAGCTTACTATCATAAGGTGACACAGTGGCTAAATGGTTAGCACTTCTGCCTGGCAGTACTAGGGTTGCGGTTTGAATCCCAGCCACGACTCTACCTGCCTAGAGTTTTCATGTTCTCCCTGTGCCTGCGTGGGTTTCCTCTGGGTACTCCGGTTTCCTCCTACACTCCAAAGACATGCTGGTAGATTCATTGGATCCTGTCTAAATTGTCCCTAGTATGTGTATGTATGAATGGGAGTTAGGGACCTTAGATTGTGCACTCCTTGAGGGTTAGGGACTGATGTGAATGTACAATATATATGTAAAGTGACGGTGCTATATAAGTACCTGAAATAAATAGAAATAAGTATGCTCCTCAGCTTCATCTCTTGGCCATAATGTAATATTTTCTGTATTCAAATTGTGAATATATAGCCTGAGAACATTCAATATTACCCCATTTGCACAAAACAAATTTACATGAAGTTTTGATGGACAAACAGCTCTTTGCAATTTTTATAAATTGCGTCTGTCATTTTCTTTTGTTGACAGGAAACTGTCATCATGAAAACAATTGTTGCATTTGCTTTCCAGGTCAAAAGTTCCTGTTCTCCGCTATCAAGGGCCATGTGATCTAAGCATATGGGACCTTTCCCAAGTACACAGCAGGTACCTGTGATACTCATTCAGTCTTGAGTTCACCCTTTGTCATCCAAGAGCCAGAAAGCAAAATGCTCATCAGATGAGAACATGTCACTGTCACCAATGACAGAGGAGTGCCTTCTATAACTAAACAAAATATTTTTAAATATGTGTGGTTAGAAGGAGGACCATTTAGAGCACAAAAAGCTTGGAGAATTGTGAGACAATAGAAGCTTTGACCTGCAATCTCTGGACAATACGGAGGAGGCCTTCTATGTGCTGGGGCTCATATACAGTATATCTAAGAGATTGATCTTACACATATGCTCTATGCCCTTTCCAGTTTTTGAGTAGTGTGATCATCAGCAGCCACTTTTACCTTCAAAATATTGAAATGTGAGATATGAAACACCTCTATGGTCTGAGGGATTTTTCCTCACCCTTCCCTTTTTTTTGCAGACACCTCCCAGGATGTCTCCATGCCACATTTACCTTCAAAATATTGAAATGTGAGATATCAAACACCTCTAAGGGCTGAGGGATTTTTTCCCCATCCTTCTCCTTTTTTTGCAGACACCTCCCAGAATGTCTCCTGGTATGGTTGCCCCCTGGCACATGGTTCTGGAATTGGTATATTAATTTTAGCAAATGCCTCCAATTCACTCCTAAAAAAGTTGACAAAAAGTTTGATTAAATGCATGGAGAGATTTTTGGCTACACAATATCCCATCATGTGCTGTATTTATGTGTAAGAAGAAGAATGAGTGGATATTATAACAATATGAAACACATGGTGGGAAGAGAGTCTGGAGGTGTGGTGGCATTCGGCATTTTATGGATATTTGCATTATTATTTAATTGATTTTTTTTTGTCCAATATAATAAGGTTTTTACAACACATTGCTTATGTGTTAGTTGGTATTATAAATAATCTCTGCCTTTAGTACACAGTTTTTATAACTACTTGTTATTAGTTGTGCACTGAAATGAAAATTCTGGTGCCCAAACCAAAAATTCAAAATGCACTTGGCCGAAGACCGAAACCGAAATGCGCAGTTTTTAAAAATGAATATATATTTTTAAAAAAATACACTGATTAAAAAAAAATATATATATATATACCCCATTTTTTGTAAAATATGAAAGTATGTTACGGTGAGTAAATAGATACCCAACATGTCAAGCTTTAAAATTGCGCACGCTCGTGGAATGGCGTGAAACTGCGGTACTTAAAAATCTCCATGGGTGATGCTTTAAAAATTTCTACAGGTTAGCAGTGTAAAGTCACAGAGGAGGTCTAGTGCGAGAATTATTGCTCTTGCTCTGACGTTCGTGGCAATACCTCACGTGTGTGGTTTGAACACCGTTTACATATTTGGGCATGGCCTACGTATGCGTTCACCACTACTTTAGAGCACAGGGGACGGGGGCACTTTAAACTTTTTTTAAATTTATTTAATGTTTTTTTTTTTCAATGTCCCATTAAAAAAAAATGTAATCAATTTTATTCTTATCACAAGAAATGCATGCATCCCTTGTGATAGAAATAATTGGTGACAGGTCCTCTTAATGGAGAGATATGGGGTCAATAAGACCCCACATCTCTCCTCTACAATATAAAGCATTGGATAAAAAAAAAGCATTGATCTAGTGCTTTATCAAGAAAACAAAATGGCCGGAACGGGAAGTGACATCGCTCTGGTCCTCCAAGGGCATAGAGATGAGTGGTGGCCATCTTTCCTTCACTCATCTCTATGCCCAGCGCCGGGATCAATGGTTTCTGCTGGTGGCAGGAAGCTACGGGTGGCCGGCGGCGAAAGCAGAGAGGGGCAGGGGGCGGCGAGGGGCGGGGTTTTTTCGATACCTGTATTGATCCTTTTTTTCATTTTGGCCAACGGCCAAAAGGGGTGTTTTTGGCTGAAAATTTTGGTGCATCCCTACTTGTTATATTAGGGGTGTAGGTAACAGTAATGATGGATTGGGTCCATACAACTATTATTTATATATAATGATTAAAATATATGTCAACCCTTACCTAACAAAAACAACAGTTTAAAATAGAATGCAAGGCAAAACATTGGTATGTATAGACAGTGTGTATATACTGTATATATATCTTTCTTTCTTTTTTTAAGTGTTCACGTGGCTTCTGTTCTCAGCTGCATTAGGGACTTAGAGAGCTGGGGGTGGAGACTAAAGGAGTGCGTGTCAGCAGCAGGCAGAGAAACAGCAGAACACTTATCTTCCCTGTGATTAGCTGTGCATTAAGGTATGTCAGCACAAATTTAAGCATTGCAGTACAAGCAGGTAGCCTGGAATAAAATGCAAAGAAGAAAACTGGAGACACTGGGATGGATGTGGTCCCGTTCCTTGGTACGGTCAGTTTGGAATAGGAAAGCAGAGTGACTGGCAGGATCACCAGGTATTTCAAACAAAGGAAGCAATGCAAAGAGAACAGGACACTTTTTAATGCAAGTACATGGCAAACATACATACCAGGAATTTGAGATTTTAGGGTACATACACTTTACACTGCTAGGGTAACATACATACACTTTAAAACCTCCTGTTAGTTCATAAATCTGTGTGATATATTTTCAAGGACCTCCATTCCATCTACAGTGAAGGACATAAGTATTTGATCCCCTGCTGATTTTGAATGTTTGCCCACTCACAAAGAAATCATCAGTCTAAAAATCGAATGGTAGGTGTATTGTAACACTGAGAGACAGAATAGCAACAAAAAATTCAAAAGAAATGCATGTCTAACAAATTATGCACTGATTTGCAATGAAATAAGTATTTGATCCCCTTCACAAAACATGACTTAGCACTTGGTGGCAAATCCCTTGTTGGCAATCACAGAGGTCAGACGGTTCCTGTAGTTGGCCACCAGGTTTGCACACATCTCAGGAGGGATTTTGGTCCACAGTTTGCAGATCCTCTCCAAAGTCATTAAGGTTTGGTGGCTGACATTTGGCAACTCGAACTTTCAGCTCCCTCCACAGATTTTCAATTGGATTAAGGTCTGTAGACTGGCTAGGCCACTCCAGGACCTTAATGTGCTTCTTCTTGAGCCACTCCTTTGTTGCCTTGGCCATGTGTTTTGGGTCATTGTCATGCTAGAAAACCCATCCACGACCCATTTTCAATGCCCTGGCTGAGTGAAGAAGGTTCTCACCCAAGATTTGATGGCACATTGAGTTTGGAATCTGAATTGCTCCTGTGGACAGGTGTCTTTTATACAGGTAACAAAATGAGATTAACAGCACTCC